AATTCTTGCTTATGTTAACAACATGCTTACCTAAGATTATACTGACACTGGTTTCAAATCACGGTCAAGTAGTTAAAAATCACCTAAAATCACCTTATTTTGCGAATTAGTGCCCCCTCAACTGATCATCGAGCCCCCTACTTCACCCTCGCGCAACCCCTCCTATCAGCCTACCATTTCAAGACATCTAGATACGCCACTGAATTACATGGCCAGATGAATGAAAATACACAATTGATGTGCCACCAAATCGTAACCAGCCTTCACTATGCCCTCACGATGTCAGCGGGGACGCAGCGGCCAAAAAACTTTTTTTTTGCAGCGAAGGGACGCTACCAATAAACAATCAACAAAATATCGTGTTTCTGGGTTGGTTTGCAAGGTACTACATGGCTCAACTATTTTTTACCTAGGGGTTAATTGGTGAAAATCCCACACAAATCATACGACGTCACTGACAACGCCGGGGACGGCAACTCGATTTTGAGATTAATTTCCGAATAGAGTTATACTACAGTAAATAACTTCTAATGACGAACTATTGTCTTCAGTTGTCTTTGTTGGTCATTCAACTGTCATTTTATCTATTTTTTTCGGTGATATTACCATTCTCAATAATCTATAACACACCCACATAACAACGTCACGATAGCCCTATCGGTTGGGACGCCGTGGTGACGCCGATAGTGTAAATTTTCGTCGGAAGGTACCAAGATGATAAAAAGTTTATCACTAAATTCTTGCTTATGTTAACAACATGCTTACCTAAGATTATACTGACACTGGTTTCAAATCACGGTCAAGTAGTTAAAAATCACCTAAAATCACTTTCTTTTGCGAATTAGTGCCCCCTCAACTAATCATCGAGCCCCCTACTTCACCCCCCCCCCCCATCATCCTCCCATTTTAAGACATCTAGATACACCACTGCCTTACATGGCCAGATGAATAAAAATACATTTCTTTTATCTTTTTTGTGTACTGTCTTTTATTTTTATGATCTCTTTCATTTGTCTGTAATTTCCAATATTGGCCAAATAAATGAATGAATGCATTGTTATAATACTTTTTTATCGTAATATCGTAAAACATATAATGTTATATTAGGTATACCTGTAATATGCAGAGATATAAGAAGAATACTAGAGCGCTAACTCCAATGCATTGATGTTCTAAATACGCACTGTGTGTGAACTCAACAAGATGGCTGATAGCCAATCAAAATTCGCCTTAGCATCGGGGTTTTTCATTGGCGCCCTCAATTTAGCCTTGAAACTTTTAAGTACAAAAATAAAACTCGAGCGTTGAAGTGTTGCACTGTAGCGAATATCAATTCGATTTTCATCCCTCAGTACCTTATTTTTAATATCAAATGCTCCACTTGGCCTCTTTTTGGCTATGCTAGTTGAATAATTTATTGATATTATTAATAATAACCAAAGATCTTATAAACACAAGATAGCGTTCTCCGCGATTTACGCGTGCAAATTCTGTAATAAGGCATGAATGGCACCCTCTTTCTAAATTAGAAACTTTTGACCCTTGACTGCTCTGACCATACCGTCACCGCGCGACTTTACCTTGGGTATCAATACTGTGAACAGAGAACAGGAACCAACTCAGTTCCATGGCAACAGATAGGACGCCCTCTTCCAAAACTGATTACTTTTTTTTCCATAGAGGTTTAATAGCTCTATGTTTTTTTCTTTGGTATAATAGCGCATGAATGGCCCCCTCTTGCTAAATTGGAAACTTTTGAACCTTGACCGACGCTTCTATTTGTTACACGTAAATCGCGGAGAACGCTATCTTGTGTTTATAAGATCTTTGATAATAACGATTAATGAAATGTAGTTAATCAGAGGGCGTATTTATGGTTATAATATATAGACTGAGACTAAAGGTGGCGCTTTCCTATGGCGGATCAGCTTATTAGGCAAATACTGTTCTCATAATTTGGAATTTGTATACTGTTTCCGGATTGTCTACTGGAGCACTGCCCAATTCACCACCAGAAGGACCCTGCTAGAATTTATTCCTACTCTAGGGCTTTCGAGGGTTATCATCAATGAGTATCATACTGAAGAATTTAAATTCTTAGGTTTCACATTAGTAACTCCTAAACTTCCGACTGATCAAGACAAAAAAAAGCACCATGGAAATGGTTATAATATTGATACAGGCTACTCTTTGTCAGATTCCTCTTCTGTTATAGTTCGATTAATGTTTTTCAATTGAAAACGCACACATGTTTATTTGTTTTTTGTTTGTTTCCCGTATGTATACTGGTTGGATTTTTTTGGTAGCAACTGAGTAAATCCCCCTCTAAACTCTCTGAGATGTCACTACCAAATGCGGTTTTCTTCCTAA